GGGGGCGCTTCGAATCCGAAGGCTTTAATCGGCCAATCGTGATATCCACGAAGGGCGTTCCGAATCCGGAGGCTTTTTCCGTCGCAGCACTTTTTAATTCTATTTCGCAGTGGGTGGGATTACAACTTTTCAACAAGAATCCTTGCATTTCAAAAGTGGAATGCGTACATGGCGAATCATTTAGAACTAGGATCATTCTCCACAAGTCGGGTTTAATGACAAAATTTTTGCAAGTGCGTCGGGTTCCAGGGCCATGGCAGACTCCTTCCTGACATATTTCTGCGCCGATATGGAATCTATCCGATAATGGTCGTCTCAGTTAGGACCCAATTTTCCATCAACCGATTTCTTGTCATCCGGAAGTGCCTTCACGATCAACTCTCCCGGTGTAGCGACGCAGCTGAACGCGTTGATTATGCGACTTGGCAAGCTGTTGTTAGTATTGCCTAGGGCTTCTATGGCTTCAGTGGAGTTGACCTACGACTCGGTAGTTCAGTGGAGTTGACCTGCGACTCCGTTGGTGTCTTTCCACAAAGGAGATAACATGCTTGTGCGGATTACTGGGAACCACGGATTTGCTCAATGCCGTGTTCGGTCGAGAAACGTAGCAGCTAATGATAGGTGCTTGGGACAGCCTGAATAGCATGTAACCAAGTTCGCCCCATGATGAGATTATACGGTGAAGGGAGCTTGACGACCACGAATTCCATATCCACTGTTTGGGAGCCCGCTCGAACAAGAAGTGTGATTTTCCCCAACGGGTACTCTGGATTTGCGTTGAAGTCGAATAATGGATGTCGAGCCGAAGACAGGTCTGATTCATTGAAGCCGAGTTTGATGAAGGTCTCGTAATACATTACCTCCGAAGTGCTCCCCTGGTCTATGAGGACGCGTTCAACGGTAAATCAGTTTACGTGTAGTTCAATGACCAATGGATCAACATGGGGGAGTGTGATGCCGATAAGATTGGAATCGTCGAAGATAATGCTTGGAGCTTCGTGGGGCCGTTTCGTCGGTGTGCATTGCTTCTGGGGGGATGACTGAATTGCATATATGGTAAGAGGCATTGAAAGGCTATATATCATATGAATGACGCCGAGCGGAGGTGAATCCTGCCGAAGGGAAACTGTTTTGATTGCGCTCTTTCGGATATGTTGCTGGAGCCGACCATCTTGCACCAATTCCTCAAGGTGGTCTTTCAAAGCATAGCAATTGTCCATATCATGGCTATGATCTTTGTAATAGTCACACCGCCTATCCCGCCTTCTTGTGTTAGGAGGTCCCACCATTTTGGACGGCCATTTGAAAAACGAAAGATGTTGGATTTTGGACATAACCGAGCTGATTGGCTCTGATAGCTCCGAATATTTCTTGTCGGCGCACTTTGTGCGCCTACTATCAACTTGCAGTTGCTCATTTGCTCGGTGTGAGCCTTGATCGCTTGATCGGCGAGAATCCCGTTTCTTGTCTCGTTTAGCCCGTTGTCGTGGTTTGGGGCTCTGAGGTGGTACGAAACTTATTGGCTGAGCAGTTTCAGGAGGGGCCGTTTTGTTGGCCATGTATTCAGCTTTAACCTGCAAGGCATCATCTTCCACTTTGCAGTATTCCTCTACTTTCTTCATCAACCCCAGACTGTTTTAGGGGGTCTTCTAGTCAAGGAACTGCGGAGGGCACTATCTGGATGTAATCCCATTTTGAAGGCGGTGATGGCCATGGAGTCATTGCAAGCGTCATCAATAAGATTAAAGCATTCCCAATATCGTGCCGAATATGCTCTTAGTGTTTCTCCTGGCAGGATTTGCATTGCCCAGAAAGAGTCGGCCTGTTTCGACTGGACCTCGTTAGTGATGAATCTGGCCCTAAAGGATTTCTGTAATTGGTGGAAGGTTTTGATCGAAGCCGGCTCCAGTTTATAATACCACCTGACAGCCAATGGTCCCAAATTGCTAGGAAATATTTGGCACATGAGGGCCTCGTTATCTGCATACAATGTCATGGCTTGCTTGTAGTGGTGGATGTGGTCGGTGGGGTCTGATTTGCTGTCGTACAAGGTGAATGATGGTGCTTTGAATTTCTTGGGTAGTACTGCCTTTGCAATCCGTCGTACGAATGGATCTTGTTGATCTTCGTCCGAATTGTTCCTTCTTCGCTTGTGCCTTATACGGGGACTTTCTTCAGAAGAACTGGTAGTTTCAGGTCTCCCCTTCTTCCTGGGCTCCGGCGATAACGAGTCGGAGTCGCTATTAGTGTTGTTCTGTCGGGCTCGAGGTCGTCGACCACCTGCCTTCGGAGATCGTTCCGGATTTAGGCGTACAGCTTGTTTGGACTTCGCCACTTCCAAGGCCAAATCTTCATGAAGACGTTCGTTTTCTGAGATCATGTTCTCCAACCTTTGTTCGTTTTGCTTTGCCTATTCCATGATCGCTTGCATTGCTTCATGCTCTGGAGTCGAGGGCGAGGCGAAGTTCAGAGTGCGTCTTATGGGGATGGTATCCGGTCCAAGCATGTTTGGTGGAGTGAGGTCGTCTTTCTACGTGGTTTCATCAGTGGCTATTGGAGGGTCCTCTGTCACGCCCGCCATGGATATGCTTGAGTATTCCCACAGACGGCGCCAATTATGAAGAAGTGGTTTTGGAAATACTCTTCTGATCTTGGGAGACGCTAATGATCCTCTTCTAGAGACTTGAAAAGGAATAAACACTCCGGTCGGGGGTGCCGGAATTAGCACTCTGACGGACAAGTCAGTCTTTACGCTCAAGTTTACTTGTATTCTAAACTAAGCACAATAGTTCTCACCCACTTCTCTCTGATGGATGATCCCATATTTATAGTATTTTCTTTAGGCCTTTGGACTGGGCCTATCCTTGTTCCGTCACATGTACCTCTACTCGGAGTCAGTTCTATTGGCTGGGATACTGGTTATTTTATTCGGCTCCTTGATTGGCTGGGGTATATGCCGTATACAGGTTACGTTTCGGACCGGACACGCTCATCCGTCCCTATGAATCTAATAAAATCCGGCTCCCACACCAACCATTCCTTAACCAATTAAGTCCATTGGTGAGAAGTCATCTAAAGAGAACGAAGTGTCAAACAAGGGGTAGTTTAAGGCAAGAGAGATGTCATACCGTTGGTAATGAATGCCCAAAAGAGGATTAAACAATTAAGCAATGAACCTCAATCTCAAGCTTAAACTATCCTAAGGTTGAAACAACCCTCAAAACAAACAAAGAGTGAAAAAATTAGGGAGATTGTAGAGATTATAAGTGCTGAAATGAAGTGAGAAAAGCACTAAAACATGGCAATCAACTCAAACAAGTGTTGCCTAAAGGCCTAAAACACCAAGTTTGTGAGGACTATTACACTAGAGGCATGCAAAACAAGACTCAAATGCAATAAACAGCCAAAAAAGGAGGCAAAATAGTCTAAAATAGAGCCTAAAACATGCTTGAATTAAGCTACAGAAGGCTAGAAAATAAAGCTAACACATAGAGCTTACTAGGCTAGCAAACTAGACACAAAGAGAGGAGGCTAACCCCTCCAATTTTGGACTTCAAAGCATGATTTTTACCACTGAAAATATTCTAAAATTCAGTGTTCAAAAGCCCAAAAAAAGATAGTTTGAAGGTGGGAAACAAAGATGGAAAAGCCTTACAAGCAAGGAATACCCCCCCTAACCTTAAATGGCCTAAAACACCAAGTTCAGCCCACAAAAATAGAGTTTTTTATGCCCAAAAATAGCCCAAAAGCAGTGGAAAGAGATAGAAAAACAAGAAAACAAAGCAAGCTTAAAAGGGAAGTAGTATACCTCTTGAAGCAAAGATCAACTTTAGGCACTAATTCAAGCTAAAACCACCTTCAAGAGCTCCAACAAGGCCTCAAGGAACCTCATCTTAAAGATGATCAGCTTTGGTTAAGGAAGTGTAGGCAAAAGTGTAGTGTAACTAGGCTAGTGTGCACAAATTTGCAAGAGAGAGAGAGAGAGAGAGAGATTTGTTCCAAAATTGCCAACCCTCAAAAATGGGGGAGAAGACCCTGTATATATAGAAAAACATGCATTTGGTTGAGTTAGATCCGTCTATACACGTGTATGAAGATGGAGGCAATTGTGCCAACAGCTGGAACAGTTGTTAACAAAATATCTACAAAAAGGTCACTAGTGGCCGGCTAGCCACCAGGGGGTGCAGGCTTGAAACGCTAAGGTTTTGGGCTTGAAACACTGAGGTTTTGGTCCAAAATAAGGCATAGAATGGACAGGGTTTAAAGGCTCAAAGATAGTGCATTTCACCGAGGACTTCGGGCACTAAAACGAGCACAAATAGTCACAATCATCGAGTGCACAAGCGATGACATCCAAGTCTTGGGAACGGTTAAAAACGGGGTGTCTACAAGTAACAATAGGAAAAATACTGGGATTTCTAATCACACAGAGAGGAATTGAGGTTGATCCTTCCAAAATCAAGGCCATCTTAGAAATGCCACCACCGAGGACTGAAAAGGAGGTGCGCAGCTTTCTGGGTAAAATGTAATTCATAATACGGTTTATTTCGAAATTAACCTTGACTTGTAAACCACTATTTGGTCTCCTAAAGAAATGAAAGAAATTCTGATGGTATGATTGTTGTTAGTTCGCTTTTGAACAGGTCAAGCAGTATCTGTAGAATTCGTCTGTGTTATCACCACCAGACTCGGGAAAATCGTTGATTATGTACCTGTCAGTGAAAAACTCAACCATGGGGTGTATGTTAGCTCAGGAGTCAGAGACCGAGGTGGAGAAAGCCTTTTACTACTTGATGAAGAAAATGCTAAACTATGAGACATGTTACACTCCCCTCAAGAAAGCTTGCCTAGCCTTGGTATGGGCTACCTGGAAGTTGAGGCACTACCTGTTAGCTCACTCAATAATTCTAGTTTCAAGATTAGATCCCATCAAATATCTCTTTAAGAAACTAGCGCTTATAGGTAGGCTAGCCCATTGGTTACTTCTTCACTCCGAAGCGATGGAGTACTTTTTCCCAGATGGAGATATTCTGCAAATAGAGGAGAAAACGTGGATGATGTACTTTGGCGGAGCAGCCAATCAATATGGTTATGCAATCGGTGTGTTACTGATAACACCTGATGACTCCTATATACCCTTAGCCTTCAAACTCCGATTTAAAGTATCTAACAGCGAAGCAGAGTATGAGGCGTGTATTACTGGTTTAGAAGTCGTCCTAAAACTAGAGGAAAAAAGGTTGGACATCATCGGGGATTCAAACTTGGTTGTGTTTCAAGCCAACGGAGATTGGCGGGTTAAAGAAGAGAAAATGAAGGTTTACCATCAGGCATTGGATATGTTAATTCCGCGGTTTGAAAATCTAAAGTTTACCCATCTGCTAAGGGAGAACAACCGGTATGCTGACGTACTAGCAACTCTATCTTCTATGGTAGACATTCCATTGGGAGTGAGGATACGTCCGATCATTATTGAACAGAAGTACACACTGGCCTATGAAACCATTGTCGCGATAGATAAGGCTTCAGACAAGAACCCCTGGTGCTATGATACTTTGAATTTCCTAGAAATGGAGGCGTATCCACCAAGAGCAACTGTCAAGGATAAAAGAGGAATACGGTGTTTGGCCGTCCAATTTATCATCTGTGGGGACATGTTGTACAAAAGAAGCCATTTAAGAATGCATAAATTGTGTGTTGAGGAAGAGAATTCAAAGCGCCTTGTGGAGGCCATTCACAGAGGAGATGCGGAGCCCACATGAACGGTGTGATGCTCGCCCAAAAAATCCTTAGACAAGGCCACTACAGGTTAACCATGGAAGAGGATTGTATCAGTTTTGTACGGTGATGCCATAAATGTCAAATTTATGCCAATCGCATGAACATACCACCGTCTAAACTCTACAATATGACTTCACCATGTCCATTCTCTGTTTGGAGGACCGATATTATCGGCACAGTTATGCCAAACGGGTCAAACGGACATGAATTCATCTTGGTAGCGATTGACTACTTCACCAAATGGGTGGAGGCCCACTCATACTTTGTGCTAAAAGTGTCACATGTGGCTAAGTTCATCAAGAACAATATCATCTACCGGTACGGAGTTCCGAATGAGATTATCTCCAATAATGGCTCACACTTCAAGAAAGAGGTGTTGGAGCTGATTGAGAAATATAACGTGGCTTTTCATAAGTCATCAACATACAGACTGCAAACCAATGGAGCTGTTGAGGCTGCGAACAAAAATATCAGGAGAATTCTACAGAAGATGGTGGAGACTTACAGGGACTGGCCAGATAAACTGACATTCACGCTCTGGGGCTACAGAACCTTAATCCGAACATCTACTGGGGCGACCCCTTATTCTCTCATTTACGGGATAGAGGCTGTTTTGCTAATCGAAATTGAAGTGTCGTTGCTACGAGTTATGGCTGAGTGTCAAATAGCGGAGGCAGACTAGTAACGGAGTAGGTTCGAGGGGTTAATATTGTTTGATGTGAAAAGACTAAGGGCATCGTATCACGTCCAGGGCTACCAACGCAGAATTGCTAGGGATTTTAATAAGAAAGTTAAGTCCAGGAATCTCATGGAGGGAGACATGGTGCTGAAGGACAATCGAGTCCCCATCCATGACCCAAGGGACAAGTTTCGACCCAACTGGACTGGTCCTTACATCATCAAATCAATCTGATCATGAAGGGCAGTTATTCTCATGGACTTAGGTGGCCTGGAGTTCTCACAACCGATCAATATGGACAAGTTGAAGAAATATTACCCTTGAGAGGCTCGCTAGGCTAAAAACCTGAAAGGGAGATCTAGGCAAAAGTTAGAGCATAAAAAAATTAGAAATAAATAAAAACTGAGCTCGCAAGGTTGAAAAATACTAAAAGGCAACTTTGGCAAAAGTTAGAACGCAAAATCAGAGAGTTAATACTCAAGTGAACCTCAACCGAACTACATAAGGCCTAATTCCCATTTTTAGGATACATAGGCAACTTCTCCCTGAAGTTCAGCGTAACCATCTCCAACTCAACTGTCTTGTCTATTTTTTTGATCAGGTCATCTTTGTTCATCATCTATTAAGTCGGTTGTGATCTTCATTTTGGAAAGAAAAGTTTGTTACAATACAGAGCAGCAGTGATATGCAATCAGGGGTAGTTATGATCATTTAATTTGGGATTGTACATCTTGAGAATCAATTCTTTGCGTGTTAGCTAGTGATCGTTTCCTAAAATTGTTTTGAAAAGTTTTAATAAAAGTTGATTTTGTTCAAAATTTTACTTTTTTACAACTTGGACCATTTTTGGGACCAAAAGGAAAATTTTCAGCACTCGCAATTTTAATTTTATTGATTTCAACACAAGTATATTCTCCAACTCTTTGATTTAACAAAGCTGTTTTTACATCTTACACTACTAAAACTTGAAAATAAAGATCAAAGTAGTAAAACTAGGGACATAGCTAAGTCAGGTAGCTCTATGTCTTCTGCTTGCACTCACAGAAGTTTCCACAGCTAAAGATGGCCCAACTTGTTCTTTGTCTTCAAGCCAAGCTAAACACTCATCAAAAAGGATCTAACTGAAACTAATGGCAGGGGCCAGAATTTCTTTCAACCTCCAGGCCACGAGATACCAGGGTAGGTGCGAGGCATGAACCAGAAATGAAGCTGTGTATTCCATTCCCTCATCTGGGCGCGTCTGATCGTGCCCAAACTGGCTTTTGAATTGGAAAGGAAAATGCACGCAATGTGTGAGGCCAATTAACTCTACACCCCACTGTCGGGGACATGCTGTAGCTCATCTCAGCCAAATTAAGCTAGGGGCAATGCCAAGTTATGTTAGCTGCAGATCTGCTGTATATCCAGTCGCACCACAACCCTTTTGAAGGGAAATCTACTAGCCGTTGGTGAAAGAAGTAAGCTCTGGCCGAGTATTCAGGGCAAGGGTCCACTACTTGTAGTTTATCTATTAACCAGACCTGGGGAGGTATGAAAAATAAGAGAGATTAAAGAATAGAAAGGTGTACGATGAGAGAAAAGTAAGAAAGAGGTTATGCGAGAAAAATAGAGATTGAGTGTCAAGTGATGTGAGAATTATAAATTAGCAAGGTGGGAAATAATACCTGGAGAAGTAGCGGACTCCCTACCAACCGTGTAGTCTCTCCCCGACGGAAAGCATCTAAACCTATCAAGGTTTCGGCTAGTGCCAGGCCCATACAACTCTTACCCTCTATCAAACATTGGGCCACTTCGATCAACCAGATACTAGCTCCGTCGAAACTAGGGACAAGGAGGAATTATGCAAGAAGGCATAAACAGAGAGCATGTTGCTGGTGGCCTCACTAGAGAAGGTCACTCCTATCTCCAATAGCAGAAAATCAATGAACTAAACCGGGGATATCTAGCTCCCCATCATGTGCTAAGGACAGAGCCTCGTGTAATGTTAACCCACACATCTGTCCCAAAGCTTGGGCATGGCCAAAATGAGGTTGCAGCATGATTTCTTCATCGCTCCCAGACTCCATCAAAGCTCAAAATTCTTCGAGTGTCGGGCATACCTCTTGTGAACCAAAGTGAAATACATGTGTGACCGAGTTCTAACATCGAACTGCGGCATGAAGAAATGGGAAGCAAAGAGAAATGCGTCTTAGAGGAAAAAGGGCGTTTAGGCCAAAACCACGAAAGTTCACCTTTTCCAAGCCGTCCAAAGTGGCTATCTAGTCTCGAAGCCTATTACTGGGCAATGTTTCCATCTTGAAGCAAATTACCAAAGACATGCTATTCTGCAGAAAAACAGCATAGGAGCACTATTTATAGAGGTTGAGAAGGAACAATGCATGACAGCTGGACAGCATTGACCAACCTCATGTTTAGGCCTAGCCATGCCTCAATGAAGCCCGGCCGTGCCTATTTTGGCTCGGCCAAGTCCAAATAAGGGCCTAGATCAGTGTAATTTCAAAAAAAGTTGGCCTTTGTCCTGGCGTACCACGGTTGTGTTTTGAGTCTTGTTTTGTTTGTACCAAATGTTTTTTAGTATTTTCAAGTTGTTTTCATTTTGTTTTCCTGTTATCAAGTTGTATTTTATGTTTTGTCCAGTTGTGGGTTGCTATCCGACTCAAGAATGAGTGCAAGAGCAGATATTCGTTGTTTAAGTCTTGTGCGAAGTTACCATGCAAAGGTTACACCATTCATCACATGCCATGCGTCACATATTGTGCAAGGAGATCATTCAAAAACTTGTCTTTTATAAACTAGCGAGTCCAACTCCGATCATTGTTTTACAAAGCAAAACAAAAGAAAATCCTTCAAAAACAAAAGGGTCCATCTGAAGCTAGTCTTTAACTACAAAGTAAAACAAAAACAAAAACAGAAAATCATCATGATCATCAGCAAGCCATCCTCGCTCTCTTCCTCCTTGGCCACAGAGGAGATGCATTGTTGTCATCACTGGGGCTACTAGACTACATGCCAACCGCCTCCCCCTCTTCCTCAAAAGTCGTGCAGTCCTTGAAAGACTCCTCGGGAGATGAGCGCTGCCTCACTCTGCCTCTCTGTCATAACCCAAACCTGCCCCTTTGGGTCTAGAGTCATGACCGGCCAGTAATCCTAGATTACTTTCGGCCTCAAAGACAAAATTTCAAAATATTTAATATCATATTGGGGCCTAAGGCGAGAGCACAACAAAAATAAAAATGTCCATTGAGCTTGTACCTACATGATACAATAATATATTATGAACATATACAAATCTTATATATCTCACACACATATATATTTAAGACTCAGCAAAATACAAATTTGACAAAGCTAAGGGGGCTGATTTTCTTGGCTCTACTCGAGCCTAACTTGGTCCATTCCGGAAGCTCTTCAAAAGTCTGACACGGGTAGACTCTAAGGCTTTCTCTATCCTTGTTGCTTAGTTTTCTCAGCTACATATACATATAAATAGTGAGCTAAAGCCCAGTGAGTAATAATAGAATAAAGAGGTTAGATGAATGAAGTTCAACAATAATACAAAAACCTGTCTTACGATTTCAAAACCATTTTCCATATCAAATCATATATTTCAATTTTCGAATCAATCCATTTCAATAGGCAATACAATTTGATTATCCTTTGCAATGACAAAAACCATTGTTCGATAGTATTTTCGTTACAATTCCAATTTCAATCCAATTCTCAATGATCCATGTTATCTTAATAGCAATTCTCATTCAATGACAATTTTTGTGGTACATCCAATAGAGTAACAATATTCCAATAAGAATAGACCATAACGGTCTAACACTAGAGATCTCTATGTGCCAATAAATCCAAAAGCCATGGTATTGTTTCCTCCAAAAAAGGGCCTAGCCATGGTATTGTCTCCCCCAGGCAAGGGCCTAGCCATGGTATTATCTCCCCTAAGCAAGGGCCTAGCCATGGTATTGTCTCCCCCAAGCAAGGGCCTATACTCAATGGATGCCACAAAACCATTTCGAAACAGAACTTCATTCATTATGAGAAAATAACGTTTCAATAGGTCATTCAATTAATCATATATCAATTTCGATAGTAATAACATTTTCGGAAGTAAACATAACTTGAACATATCTTTATAAAGTTATTACTCACAGTGGTTAAGTCGATATAAGGCCTCAGACGTCCACCTAAACAAATCACATAACAAAAACACAATAGAAGCACCATTCAATATTCATTTCATTTTAATTCAACTCTCTTTATGTGTTTCTAGTTCATTCCATGACTATGTGAGTCCAA